AAACACAATTTTTATAATCTTTATTCATTGTTTTTTATTTATTTTGTAATAGAATGAAAATTAAAACAATAACAAAAAAATATGTGATATTTTAAAGTGTTTGCAGAATACAGTCATATTATTCTTCTTATTATTACCTTAAAATATTTCTATTACTCTCGAGAAATTTTGACAGGTAAATTGCTATCAATTCAACTAACACGTTTCTCTTGACCTATTTCCTTCTTTCTCATTATTTCAAATTAATTTTATTATTTCTTTTCTTATTATTATGGTATTTTTAATCTAAAACATATAAAATTATTCTCTATTTATTACTTCTTAATTAAAAGCCTTCATTCACCAATCTACAACATCATTAATATCTTCTTTCCTCTTTTGAATGATTTTCTTATTCACTTGTGCAAAGTATTTCATTTCAAATCCATTCCCTCTATCAATCCCATCCCACTTATAATCAGGTGCAATTCCAAATCTATTTTGTGGAAATTTCCCTTGGTATTTTGGTCGTTGCTTTATGGTTGTTTCTTTCATCCCTTCCTTTATTTCATTCATTTCTTGTGCTTTTTCTTCAATTCCTTTCTTTAATTCTTTTTCTTTTCTTTTTTTAAACATCTGTCTCATAGGATCACCAAATCGTTGTTTCTCTCTATAAATCTTATCACGTTCATCTTCTCTTGTTTTAAAAGGTTTCTGTTTTGCCTTGAACTAAGTTTGGTGTTTGAAGTTCTTTTATAACTACTAAAACACTTAAAGAGAGATATTTTATTCAATTATTCTTCATATTCTTCCATATGTGTCTCATAACGAACTTTTGATGCACAGCTCATATATTCTTGATAATTTAATTTATCTTCTTGTTCTTTATGACACTCTTTACACACTTCATCAATTCGTTCTTTTGTTAGTTTATTGTTGATAGCAATAAACATTTGGTGAACTTGTTCTATTTGAACAAAACCATTTGAACTACATTTTTTAAAAAGAATTGAATACTCATCTTCGTCGTCTTGGTTTTTGACATAAAAATGAACTAACTCAGTAAATTGCTTTAAGTCAATCCGATTGTTTTTTTGAATATCAGAGATTTTAAACAAAGCCTTTGCAGCATCAAAAGATGCTTCAGGAACGAATTGGCAAAGTCCAGCATAATATTCACTAATATCAATATACCCAGTATGCTCTTCATCAAGTTCATTGAAGACAGCTGTGATTAATTGTTCTGTATCTATCATCACAAATTATTGTTTTTTTAGTTTCTTTTTGACTTTTTATTTTTTCTGGATATTTTCTTTTTATTTTTGGGAAAATTCTCATAAATTTGTCCATTTTCTGTGAGTTAAACAAATATAGAATTATCTTTTTGAGTAAATCAGATTTAAGAAATATGTTGGATATCCTAATACGAAAACTCAATCTAAATTTTATAATAAATAAAAAAACCTTACTAACCACTGATTGTCCTGAGTCAAAAAAGAATCATTTTTGGTGTTTATAAAATCAAACAAATACAATTATCTATATATTTGAGAAATTATTTTATTTTCAAAAAACTCAGATCATAAAAATCTTTCATTTTAATGACTATTATGATTTTTCTTGAGAAATTATCTATATGCTTTTCTTTCTAATAATTGTGTTTTATAATTCAGCAAATTAAATTAAAAATAACTTAAAATGTGTTATATTTGATACTTTATTTATAAACACTAATAACTTAATATTCAAATATAAACAAGTCAATGTGTTTGAATTTGCATTTAATATTCCACTTTAATTGTTGAATATAAAGTACTATATCACTCTCTAACTTATTTTCATTTTGTTTTAATGGTACAGAAATGACTTTATATCAATTAGCTAACTATCAAGTTTAGAACAATATTTTTTTTTAATTTATTTAATGCTCTATTTGATATATTAATTCATTCTTTATTGGTTCAACCTATTTGTTGTGTCATTGTTTTTATATTATTTTTATTAGTATGCCTATTTTATCAACTATTTATTCTTCTTTTTTTAATTAACTACTCAGTTGTTTCATTAATTTATTTTTCAAACAAATTATTCATGGTAATTCTTGTATGAAGAATATGATTAAACAATTCATATTCGATAATCTTATATTTTAAATAGAAATAACTCATAAAATTTATCTAAAAGATAATATAAATTAGATAAATGAAAAATAGAGTATAAATATTATTGATATTTTAATTTTTCTATTCATTGTTTTTGTGCTATTATTTCATATAAATAATTAAATACAAGAGTCATTTGAAAAAATTACTGAACAACTAATACATCAAAAATCAAAATGAATTTAAATCAGTTAGTTTCAACACTCTTCAAAAACCATTCATACAAACATTGCATTAAATAGATACATTAAATTTAACATTCATTTCAATAATTTAATAAATGATGTTTATATATTTATTTGTTTTAAATTACAACAAATAATATATAATAGTGTTATTATTAAACTTTTATTCTTTTTCTTTCATATTTTCATTTAAATGAGGTTAGATAGTTGTAACATCACATAATTGTAGTTTAGTTACTTAGTATTGAAATGAATGATATTTCTTTAAATTAATGAAGAAAATGAAACAACTGTCTAATAAAAAATAACCAAGAAAATGATTATAACTCGAATTATTATTAGAAGTGTTTCAATAATATTCTTTTAATATTCTTATGTTTAACATAATATTTAATATTATACTATTCTTTTTTACTCTAAGAAATAGGTACTTATTATGTTGTGTTAATTTCTTAGTTAATGATATTTCTTTTATTATTTTGTATGATGAAAGAATATAACAATACCAAAAACATAAAATACAAAACAAAAGTATAAAACAAAATAATATTTTGTTATAAAAAAAAAGGAAAGAAGATGTTAAGAAAGTAATTAAAAAAAAATAGAATTTGTTTTTTGATAGAAAAAACCCTACAAATTTTTTTAGTTCAGAAGTTAATTCCTTTAAAATGAGTCAAGATAGACATGCTAAAGATACTCTTGATCGTATCGCTGTAATTAACGATAGATGTAAACCAGGAAAATGCAGATTAGAATGTAAAAAGACATGTCCAATTAATAGAGCAGGAGGACTTTGTATTGAAGTACTTCCAAAAGATAAACGAGCAGTTATTTCAGAGACGTTATGCATTGGATGTGCATTATGTGTAAAGAAATGTCCATTTGAAGCAATTAAAATCATTAATCTTCCAAAGAATTTAGAACAATGTACTACTCATCGTTATGGACCAAATTCATTTAAATTACATAGACTACCAATGCCAAGACCTGGACAAATTCTTGGATTAGTAGGTACTAATGGTATTGGTAAATCTACTGCATTGAAGATTTTAGCAGCATCTATTAAACCAAATCTTGGACAATATAAAAATCCACCATCATGGGCAGAAATTATTAAATATTACAGAGGAAGTGATTTACAAAATTATTTTAAGAAACTTCTTGATGATCAATTCAAAGCAGAAATGAAAATTCAATACGTTGATAGTGTTCCACGAACTGTTAATTCTATTAAATCAGTTGGAGAAATTCTTCGTGCATTAGATGAAAGAAATGCATTTGATGAAGTTGTTGAAATTCTTGATATTAAAAGAATTCTTAATAAAAGAGTTCAAGTTCTTTCAGGAGGAGAATTACAATTATTTGTTATTGCTACTGTTGCATAAAGAAAGCTACTATT